GCGGTATTGATGTTCTCCATTTGCCGGTGAATAGATAAAACTGAGAGAAAAATCAATACCTGTCCAAAATAGGTGTTCAGGTTTCTTATATTTATCTGATGAAATAAGGGAATTGCCCTTCAAAAATGTGGACAATAATTTTCCCCCCTGCTTCTGTACTCAGGGTCTTAATCAGCTGAGCATTACACCTAATTATTAAATGCTCGTATGTCACATTTGTTTTTTTGCTTCTGATAGTCCTATTAAAAGGTACTTGGCTTTAGGAAAATATTTTTCAGTTATTATTTATAGAAATGAGTGTTGATAGTTATAGGTGATACAAAGAATACAGTGAAAGAGGGTAGGTCATGTGATAGGCAAAGCCTTTTGATTATACTAGACTTGCCTAAAACAGCTATATAAATTTTGGCAGTTTTTATGTCTTCAGGTACACTTGCTCTGATAAGTGGATTGTAAAAATGATGGTTTGACGTCAAAAGTAAAGCATCTGTATAAATGCATTAAAATAAAGTATTGGTATGATTATACTGTATGTTGTTTTATCTCAGAGAATCTCTGTCTTATCTAATTAGTGCATAAAATTTAGAGAAACTTGGGGATAAAAGACATTTGTGTGATAAAAAAGGTTTCTGAAAAAGTTTCAGTGCATTTTATGAATTACATGTGGAATTGCAGAAATATAAGGAATGATCTTATGTATCAGAGAGGCTGAACGCCACCTTCCAAAACTAGATTCTCTACCTATCCCTGTATTGATTTGCTGAATGAATCACTTGAACGATATTATTCAATTGCGTACCTGAGAATAACTTCTCAAAAGTGCTGATCCCCCAAACGGCAAGTTAATTCAATAATATTTTAACTATGTGAATGCCAAGCACTTGGAAATATTAGATAAAAGATTTCCTACATTTGGGACACAAAACTAATCGCATTTTTGTTTTCTTTATAATTGTGCGGGTTTTTTGTGCCTCGGTTTTTTGGCTGCAAAATGAAAATAACACTATCAACTAATCTAATGGAGTGGAGTGGTTGTGAAGCTAAATCTTTTGCTTTTGTGAATCAAGAGGAAAACTTTTCAGAAAATCTATGAGAAAACTGGTATTTCTAAATGTTTAGAAATAGGTCTATGACTGAATGAAGAAAATTATAAAAAAAATTATTGCACATTAAGTATGGTATTAAAATTACCATTCTTTTAACCTTTTTAATTAGAAAATTGCATGAAAATAATTCAAAAGCAAACATTCATTGAACAGAGCCATTGTTTCTTCCACCCTGAGCTGTCAGCACGGTCTGACTTTTTCATCCACATCATGGTTCTTTGCCAATGTTTCATTCTATGAAAAAAGTAACTGGTTGCAAGCAAATGGTCATAATATGTGGGTCTTTGGACATTACATGCCCAGGTGTTTACAGCCAGTAACTGGAAGATAAGGGAATGCAGAGTTTGGATCTTCTTAGTCCAAGACAAAGCTGTAGTCCAAATGAATCACTGTTTTTATACAGTGTAAAATAGTGCAGTACATATTGAAATGGTACCTCGGGTTTTTAAAGCAGTGTAGCGTTTTCTCTGGGCTCCCTCCCTCACTGCTCTCCTGCTGGTTCACAAGCTAGCTTAGCTATCTTTCCACAAAACTGCCAAGTGCCACATGCATGCACTGTCAGTAACTCGGGGTGTCTGTGTTCAATTCCTTCTTCTGGAATGCAAGTGAAACTGTGGCATCTAAAAAGCAGCCCGCTGGCGTTATAGCATGATTCAGAGTAGTAGATTTAGTTGGCAGTGCTCCTTGCAAAGTTGCATGAGGAAAGTTATGACCTGCTTACTCATTTTTATTCTGTTAGAGCACTACATTAAACGGTACGTAAATACAGCGAGTGAGGAACAACGCTGGTCTGTCTCTCAGCCGAGTGCCTTAGCCATTAGGGTGTTAACATCATGCTTTCTCCACATGATTCTTTTCCCCGTACCTTGAACAAAGTATTCCTGGCTGCAAAGTGCCTGTCCTGCACAGGAGGGGGATGAGTAGCCCTAGCTATGCCACCCTGAACCTTGGTGGTTAGGGGACTTGTGCAGGACATGTGATGGGTGGATAGCAATTTGCTAGCTAAATATATACCTGCAGAGGGAGCTAAACTAAAGTTATTTGCCCTTTGATAAGTAGGTTACTATGTTAAAGAGACACGCTCTTTCCTCTCTTTTTTCTTTAAGTCATGGTGGCTGCTACGTTCTGTGCATAATTCCTTGCTGTACCTTGTCAATCAGTACAAGCCCTATCCAACCACACGCCTCTGTGGATACAGGCAGAATTCAGCTGCCTGTCTGTGTTGTTCCTTGAATTGCAAAAGAATTTAAACAGAAATTTGGTACCTAGCTTCCCAGGAGGCATATCCCCACGTACTTGCAGATACTTCGGTAACTTTTAGGCTCATCAGGGAGTCAGGCTGTAGGCAGAATTTTTCAGCCCTCATCTCTGTGCCAAAGGCACGTGACTTTGTTCTCCCTCTTCTGTACTTACTCTGCACTTCCATTTGTCTGTGTTATACTGTTTCCCTCATCTCAGACCTCTCGGCACCTGCTACCTAAAACCAGTGTAGTTTTTTCTGAGCTTTAAAGTAGAACTAAAAGCTCCTGAAAACGTGAGCTTGTAATGTGGAGTATGAGGCAGTACTTGCTCTAAATGACACTACTGACTTCACATGTGATCAAGTGTGTACAGACCAAATTAGGCCTTTGGGAGTAGCTTTGCAGACAGAACTTCTTAGCAGTGTGGTAACGGTAATTAAATCAATCTGCCTGTCAGATACCATAAGAAAAAAAGGGAAATTAGCTAACAAATTGGAAAAGAGGGCTACTTTTTGTTCAATTTTTATAACTAAATGGAAAAAGGCTTGCACTTAATTTTCACAGTTTAACAAAAATGTTCCACAAACTGAATGTCTTCTCCAGTAGATTACAGCTGGACCCAAACAACATCATGCTATACGTACAACAGTCTATCATATCTGTTTCTTCTCAGAATCCTAACTGTGATCAGACGTAGATGTGAGACATTGCAGAGCAAACTGGGAAATATATTTTTGAAGTAAGCATACCTAGAACTGAATATGTTTTCAGCCCCTTTTTATAATGAAACTGATTGCATGAGAACAGGGACAGTGTCCCAGGCAAGGAAACAAGTATTTTAGATTTCAAAAATCAAAGCTAATAGCTTACACTCCGCTCTGTCCACTCCTGTTCTCCCAGGACCTTAATTTAAGATATATTCCACTGTGGTTCATTGCTGCTACTTATTTGCATTGCAGCCTGTCAGTTGAGACATTCCCTTTTATTTAGAAGGCATTAGCTACACTACTAGCTTAGAGCCTAATTTAAAGTTATTGTTGGAAAGGCTGCAAAAAAATCTCAAGCCCTGCTATTATTGTTCAAGCTCAAATATTGCATGTTCACAGAAGTGGTCTGCTTAAATATTTTATTCAAATTTGCCTAGTCCCCTTGAGGTGCAAGCAGCCTAACCCTCTTGAAATTTAAATATTCTGCTTCTTTTCAAGTGTCCATTAAAATAAATGTAGACTTTCATAGTAGAACATTTCATTTTGTAAAAGTTATGTCAAGCTTTTGTCAAGATTCGCTTCTTTTAAAATAGATTTGTCATTCAATGCAAGTTCTTGTTCTATTTTGTATTTCTCACCTTTAAGCAGGGAAGAAGTTTTTATAATCAGTAAAGAGATCAAAATTTACCTCTGGAGTACAGAGTCATGGTCAAGATACTAATACAGCTCAAAGACAAAATCACTCCACCTCTTTCAATAATGTTTTTTACATTTTCATTTGGAATAGGCGTTCGTAAAGTGTAATTTACCTGCCACTCTTGCATATTGTAACAGTGTGCTTCTTAAAGGTACCTTGTGAAGGACTGTTTTTCTCTCAGGTTCTCTTCTGTGCACTGGATATACTACAGCATTCTGGACATGAGTGGAATATCAGTGTCAGAATTACAGCATATAAATCTCTCCCTCGATTGTCCTTAGGAATGATCCACAGAAAAAATGGTTCATCTGAGCTTTTGTTTCATGTGTACGTTAGAAATAGAAGTCAAAAGGGAGAGGGGATTGGTAGTTTCCATCTTTACTGTCAGTGCAATTCACCATATACATTGCAATACACAAGAACTTGCTTTCTTCAGAGTGATTTTCTTATTTTACTGCATTTCAGTAATATAAAAAGACAGGACTACTTTATTCTTATGTCAATTATAATGTTCCTTTTCTCTTCTAGGCAGTGGCTTAAATCTGAAGACATTCAAAGAATATCACTTCTTTTCTATAATAAGACTCTGGAAAAAGAAGTAAGTTATTTTCACTGCAAATTCACTGTTGATTCCTTCTTTGTCTCATCCTAAGTGAGGCTTGTATCCTTTGCTTTTGTAACACAGAGCCATGGCCACAGCACCTCTCCTGCAGGGAGAAGTGCTCAAAACTTACAATAATATTTTAGCTCATTTACAGAAGAAATTTTATGAGTGTGATGTCTGAGACTGCTTTCCTGTTTGTGGCTCTGCAGTTCACTTGAATTTCTTGAAATTTTCATGGTCTTGCAGAAGTGGGAGGAGTTTTGATAGTCCAAATTTGATGTAACTGGTACACAGAATTTCTAAGTTCCATCACCTACATCCTCAAAAGGCATTTATCAAACTCCACCGTTTTTAATTTTTTTTTCTTTTGCCATGTCTCAAAGACTCCATCTGTAGTAATGATAGTCTTGTAACGATATCAGTTGCTCATTAGTTTTCTCCATATGCACTTGATGCTCACAGTCATTCTGGGGAAACAATACTATAAATGCTTGTTAAGAAGAATGCCTAGCTGTCTTGGATGCAACACACTAAATGTTCTTCTGACCAATATGCGTGATAAAACATGTTTGAGACATGTATGTACAGATGGAGTAAATGATATTGTTTCTAGTCCTTGGAGTAATGATCAGAATGAAAGATTCCTCCCTTTTAGGTGACTGTCATGACCACTAGCCTAGAAAGTCAGGCCTTTTCTTTGTTTTATGGCTTTGTAGAGCTTGAGCGTATTTCTACATACTGACACAGCCTCGGCAGGAAGACTGGAGAGTTGCCTCCTTCTGCTTTCTCATAAGCATAGGGCAGCTGATAGCTGAACAGTTATTGCTGTCCTTCAGGGAAGTAAGGTTTGACCACAACTGGCTGCATGAATGAGTGAACCTGATGAGAATGGGGTAGAGGAAGTATTACCATATTGTGTTGACACTGTACAGCATAGGTGCAAGTATCCTCTGGGTCCCATGTGGTGGTCAAATACATATTTAATTATTTTTGTAGATATCTTTCAGTTCAAAGCATCTGAAATAATTTTCAGATTCTTTCACAGCTCAGCAGAATAGTGGTTTTATGGCCAGCTGCCAAAGGCATGTGTTGTATGCCCTTGGCGATGGGGTGAAATGTTGTATGCCCTTTTCATTAGGGTGAAAAAAGTGTCAAGGCTTGTTGAGGCTGTTTAGAAGATGGCATAAGAGAGAAGAAGCTAGACCTGGTGTGGTCTCATACATAGTGTTTAAAGGGTACACTGAGTGGATCAAAGGTGTGCCTAGAAGCACATTCAGATTTTAATGTGGGTGGTACTAACCGATAAATTCTGAAAGAGAACTTGAGAGAAAACCGTCATATGTGCACTTTGGACAATCAGGGAATCAGGACTTGGGAGAATATCAGGGAGCTAAGTTATTCGGCTGTGTAGATGCTCCCTGTAGGAGTCTAACCTCTTTTAGACTGTAGAATGCTACGGAATGGTAAAGAACTAATTGTTCTTTTCAGATCTGGCTTTTTAATACCTTTCTTCACTGCCTTTCAATGACTCACCAGTCCAGTCTTGACTTTAAAGAACTCAGTAAGAGGTCTGCTTTTGATTTAAACAGGAGTTTTTCAGGCCCTGTAGGACCTGAAAGTACAGCAAGGTAATAAAGCAAAATAATTATTTAACCTAAGGAGTGAGTTGCCTGACTTCATTGGGAAATGTCTGGAAAAGTTTGAAACACTGAAATGAATTTACAAGTGGGTTGGAATTTTTTGAGATTTTAACAGCAGCTCAAGGTCCAAAATTGGTGGACAAGACTATTAAGACACAACAAACATATTCAACAGGTGGAAGAACAAAACTTGCTGCAAATGTACCCACTGAACAAAGTCATATTTGTGCCTTGAAATTCAGTTAGGTATGAGATAAGAATTGCTTTTAATTTGTCATACAATTAAAAAGTGAAAAAAAGCTGTTGGGCTGCTAAACTCAATTTCTACATGTTCATGTAAGGTTTGGTGCACCAGTTTCAAGGGCAGAACTTGGCACTAAGCACAAAGACACAGCTGTGTGCTTGCAGTTAGAAAGCACAGCTGATGCACTTTCCATTTTATGAAGTGTGCATTTTGAGCACTTTCTGAAAATAATCTTTGGTACATTTTCTTTTAATAATCAAATCTTAAACTCTTACCCTTTGAAAAAAACCTTCGATAGGGTAAGTAACTTTAATAAGCCCAATACTTAGGTCATTTCCCTTTGAGTACTTAATTAGTTTCAATCTAGACAAATCTGTCTCAAATAGCAGAACAACTCTGATAAATATTTCATTGCTTGATTATTATGTCTCTAGACAGACTAATTAGAGATTCATAAATAGATTTTTTTTCATGATAAAACAGATCAAATTGACTCTCTCTAAGAATATCAAGTTGTTTGGTAGTATCAGTGGACATATGAGGCCTTTTAACACAGACGTAAAATATTTTCATTGATGGCACTAAGCACAAAGACACAGCTGTGTGCTTGCAGTTAGAAAGCACAGCTGATGCACTTTCCATTTTATGAAGTGTGCATTTTGAGCACTTTCTGAAAATAATCTTTGGTACATTTTCTTTTAATAATCAAATCTTAAACTCTTACCCTTTGAAAAAAACCTTCGATAGGGTAAGTAACTTTAATAAGCCCAATACTTAGGTCATTTCCCTTTGAGTACTTAATTAGTTTCAATCTAGACAAATCTGTCTCAAATAGCAGAACAACTCTGATAAATATTTCATTGCTTGATTATTATGTCTCTAGACAGACTAATTAGAGATTCATAAATAGATTTTTTTTCATGATAAAACAGATCAAATTGACTCTCTCCTAAGAATATCAAGTGCTTAGTAGTATCAGTGGACATATGAGGCCTTTTAACACAGACGTAAAATATTTTCATTGAAGTAATAATATAGCCCCAGTAAATATCAGTATGATTGCTAGCTATGCTGTTGGAAATAGAACGTTTATACACATCTGTAACACAGTTTACACTTTGCTGCTTTGTGTGCTCAGAAGTTTCCTGTCCAAATGACTGTTACGTTTTTATAACTGTTTCAGCCTATTCAATATTTATTAATAACTGAAAATCAGTTTGGGGAATTAATGACTAAGAAACTTGGAATCGGCTAAGAACGGTTGGTGATTCCTAAAAATATTTTAAAAAACACTTTCACCTTTTTTTTTAATTAAACTTTTTATGATCAATTTGGGATAGTCCTGTTCTGCAGAGGAACAAGACAAAACCATTTGACAAGACTACTTCAGCTGTTCTTCAAGAAGTAAAAGGATACTACGCCTGATAATCCTTAGCCCTGTGTGAGTGGATGTGGAAGTCACTGAACAACAGGAAATTCACTGTTGCTAAAGACTGCCTATACATATCTGCATATTTAAGCTGAAATTTCAGTTGGGTGATATTTTATCTGCTTTGGAAATTGTGTTTTTAACATTTGCTTTTTTTTTCTTCCAGTATCGAGCAACTACTCTGCCTGCATTTAAGTATTATGTAACTTGTGCCTGTCTCATATTCTTCTGCATTTTTGTTGTGCAGATTCTGGTATTGCCAAAGTAAGTGGTATTTAATGTGTACTCATTCCTATGTGTATTTGCTCATTAATGTAAAAAATAAAATTGTATAAGTAAAAAATTTTGGAATTGTCAGATTACAGAGGTCAATTCATGGAAATGAGATTGCACAGCGAATATTGAGGATTTCAGCCCATTTTCAAAATTATGCTTAAACACTGTCAATAGCATGGTGCCAAGCATTAGTATTAATTCTTCATTCATTGTAGTTTTTCTCTTCGCATTTAAAAATGTGTGATGACGACAGGAATGAAATTCATATGTTTAAAAAAAAGTAATACAAGCTGTAAGTCCGTGCAACTAAAATTACATGTAAAGTAAGTGTGACAATTGGACGTTGAAGTGGGACAAAATGGAGTGCAGAATTTGGCCTGTGATTAAATAAATTTATTTAACATATTACTGTGATAATACTGCTCTATTCAGCATGCAAACAGCATTACTATTCATAAAATGTCTCCTTTTAAAACTAATTTTAAAACATTATAATCAATTGCTGGAATAATTATTTTTATCAGAATTTATATATTATGAGCTAATTTATATTTGTGCATATAAATCAGCTATCTTTCTACCTGTGCATATACTAGAAAGGCTGAGAAAACTGGAAGACAGTTCCAATAAAGAATATTTTATTAGTCCTCTTAAAATGGAATTTTGCTGTTGATTGTTTACATAGTGGAAAGTTGATACTTGTTTTATAGCAATTGTTTCCAAAGCCAACACTGTATATTCCCTGTGATACAGTATTTCTTCACTCATAGTCTTTTCTCCTGTGCAGTGCTTTCAGGAGTAGTATTTATAACCTCAGTTGATTGATTGGTCTTGTGCTGTAGTACTTACCCACATTTTAATTCAAAGCCAGAGGGAACTGTTAGGTCATTGTAAATTGACTTTCCATACTACAGACTTGTTTTATAACATGTATAAAGTTTTATGGACTTCTATTCAGATATTACAGCATTTTCTTCGCAAAGGGTTTCCCAGCTAGTTTCTAACGTGGAGACACAAGCCGCAAAGGGACACTCCTCCAAGAGTTCAGCAGTATCCCGCACATGGTTCAGTCTGACTTTAGGCATTACTGTTGCAAAATATGAAATTAAGACTCGTGACTAATTTTATTTGTCATTTTGCATAATGAGTGTATTTTACAAGCTCATACTGTATTTTGATTAGTACAAGAATTAATTCAGGGAAATTCATGGTTTGTGATATACCAAAACCCAAACTTGGATCTAACTAGTCCCTTCCAGCAGTATGATTTATGAATCTGTTTTTATGTTTTGATTTGTCATGAAAATGAATCTAGATTTATCACCTATCACACGTAGTAAGATGCTCATTTTGCTATATCCTTATTATATCTCTTAAACCACTTGTATAGCTCATTGAAATATATCAGATACTTGAAATTAGTGAACTCTAGGGAGCTGTGTTCAACTAAGGAAAGTGTCCTCCAATTTTTAAATACATATGCTTATATTACATGATCTCTTTCTAACATCAGAGCAAAAGATACATATGATTTATCATTTTCGTTACCAAAATGTAAATTATCTTTTGGTCCTTTTATAGGGCTGCATATTAAATTGTAAAAGCAAGAATGTAAAATCAGGTATTACCAACATGAACAGTATTCAGCTTCACGGGGTCTGTGGATTAATTTAAGAGATGCAAAAATGGAAGACAGAAAGGCAAGGTATTATACAGGCATCTGCATCTTTGCTGGAAAACTGGGAGCATTGCAAATTAAAAAAAAAAAAAGCTGAAAAATCACTAGTGTATGTAATCATCACAAATGTAGCTTAAATTGAACATACTCCAGTGCTGCAAATGTTATTTCCTTCCAGCAAAAAATAAATAAATAAAAAATGAATAAATCATAGTTTAGTCTAAAATTCTATCTAGCCTTTTTTTCTTCCAAAAATTCTACAGGATTTTTAAATGGTGATTTAATGAAGACAGGGAGATAAACTGCGTCTGTCATTGGGTTTTATTGATTCACTATTCCATTAATCTGGTTTTGCAGCAGTGTAATATCATTGATTTCTGCGCAGGCACACCACCTGCTGCTTTAAAGTAGATTTGGAGATATCTGATGGTGTGTAACATCCAGCAAGTTGCAAGTAATAAGTAATGTCTCCAAGATCACGAGACATTTATTTCAAGGCTGAAATAATTTATTAATGTTTTAGTTTTCCCGGGGTCAATAAACTGATGTGGTGTTTTCGTAATGAAGTTTACACAAAGTGGTAAATATTAATTTAATGAAGTAAACAATATCTTGGGGTGAAATGTATCATGAGGAGTAGGTCTTTATTGTGACATTAAAATGGCAGCAAATCTTGATCATTACATTTCCTTGGAACAGGCCTTCAGTGACTCTCTAGCATTCTTGGTTTACCAAGTGACAGAAGTATCTCTAGTAATTCACAACAACCCTACGTTCTTTATTTAGGGAAACAGTCAACTAACATGGAATTGGTAGTGTTGTTTTTTGAAATGCAGACTGGTGAATTGATGAAAGTATATTCCTATTGAAGAGGAGTTACTTCTTGTGCTATTCGAGTGAGGGATTTGTTTGGGGCTACGTTTAAGATTCTTCCCAAGCCTTCGCTCTCTGAGGCTGCTATGTTCAAGAAATTGTGTCCTTTTGTCCTGAGTCATGCCAAACTAACAATCACCTCGTTCTACCCATGGAAGGTGGTTAGGAGGCCTTAACATAATATTTCCCGTCAGGCACAGCTGAATTTCTTCATAGAAAAGGTAGCACTCAAAAACTTTGTCTGAAAGCATGCTTGTAAAATATAAGACAGTGTAAACAAAAGAAAACCACCATTACTAGCTATTTTTCTGCTGTATCCAATTTAAAAAAAAAAACCTCAAGTGGAGTTATAATACTCAAATGATTTTTCTTAACACTGGAACTGCCATACAGTTAGTCTACATAGCCATTGAGTCCGTCAATGGCTTAGTGAAAGCATCAGTCAAATTAAGAAAGAAATAGCTACTATTAGATACCAGAAAAGTCTGAATTCAGTATTGCCTTGTATAATTGTCATTTGTAATTTCTTCATTATGATTTTATCACCTCAAGAGAATTTGCAGTCAAATAGTTCAAAACATGAATGTTAATTACCTGGCAAGCTAAGGAAATTCTCTATGTCCCATTAAGGGACATGTGCCATAAGTCACATATTTTCCCAAAAGTTACAAAAGTGTAGAAAGAATATGCTCTCTTCTCCATTTTTCAGTATCTTTATCTTCATAGTAAATTTTTATTTTTCAGTTAAAACGTTGCCAACAAGACCTAAGTATGTATAAATACAATTTTTTTTCCCAATCTCATACCACCTGATAAAAATGTATTATTCAAAACAGATATTTACTGATGAAACCATAAAAATATGAGAAGGACAGCCAAGATCATAAATTATTTAGACTTGGTACTATCTGAAGCCTGGGAAGTTCTCGTATTGTTTCCTCAATTTTAAACTCTGTCCCTCTGTAGATTATTGTCAAGGGTTGTTGTCCTGTCAGGGTTCCTGGTGGGGCACCGTAGCAGAGAGCAGACCTTTCAGAAATGAGGGCATTCCTTGAAGCATAGGAAGAGGCAGGTAGAAAGTTAGCTGGCTTATGGGATCCGAGGTGCACTTTTCACAAAATGCTTTGCCCAAATCTGTCAATGCAATGCATTTGGTGACTTGTGCAATGCGTTCGATGACTCTACATGATAAAGGTGAGATTAGTTTACTGTAAAGACCTGTACTGTTTTTGTAATGTTCCAGTGACAAAAAATAAATGCATTCCTATGGTCGTTGCCTCAAATGAGGTTTGTTTATGGTGGCACTTAATTTTTAGTATTTTGCTTCCCATTATAGCGTTTTCAGCCCACTTCTTTCTTCTAGGAGCAGCATGAAACTATTTTGGCTTAGCCTAACTGAAACACAAGTCCTGCTGTTCCCAGAAAATAAGGGGGTGTGGGGAGCAAGTCTTACAACTTTTTTTCTCTGTATTCACCACTCAACTCTGGATTCTAAAATACCGCTTTTCCTTTTCCTTATTCTCAGTTCTTTTCTCTTTGTCCTGATAGTCAGAGTCTTGTTCACCTTGCTAGGTAATTCTTTTTCTTGTGCCACCCCAGTAACATCATTGATCACGTAAAACAGCTACAAAGACCTTTTGTTCTTGCCTGTTGCCCATGTGATTAAGTACTCTTTGCATAAGCTCTCCTTCTGCCACGTTAATTTTATTTCCCTTGCTCCCCAGTTTCTCTCACAAACGTCTTCATTTCTTCTTCTACAAGGATGCACTCCAAACTTGTCTCATAAGGCTATTCTTGTGTTGAATCATTTCTTAAGGTGTGCAGGCTCCTTTTTTGTATCCTTTGTATCAGAGAAAGAATAGCAATAGTTTGAAACGCAGGGACGGTTACTTGAATCTTACTGAAGGAGGACATACATGATTGGAAATGTTTATGCGTATGTAAAAAATAAGCCTGTTAATTGTATTCCTTTTCTTTAATCTCATCTGTTGCTTACTAGCTTTTAAATTCCTAAGAGTAGAGACTGTGGTTTTACGTACGCCGATGTACAGCTTACTGTCTCAGTCTCGAGAAATTCTTGGAGAATGTGTATTCATAAGCAATAACGATTTTCAAATAACTACTAAAAACCCCATTATTTCAAGATTAATATATGTTGTGAATTGCCAGTTGTTTGTTTTTCATCAGCTGTTCACATCAACCCAAAATCTGCTGAATACTTAGCATATAAGCAGTTCTCTGAATGATTGGCAGGGAAGCTCATAAATTATTCTCCAAAATGCTTTTAATGGCAACAATATGGCATCAAATTGGTTTGTGAAGTTAATGCTTTTTTGTTCTTTCCTGAAAATAGCTTCTGTAACACTGTTGTTGAAACAGATCAAAATGTTTTCCAATATTTGTACGTAATCTAAGGAAATTGATCCATAGAGTTCTACTCTTAAATTTTTAGTATTATAGTTTCTAAAATGTATATATTTGAATTCAGATGGCATCTCTAAAGAACAGAGATGTATGCTTTTATTAATAATGTATTTTAATTCTGACTCATGTTTATGGAGGAGCTAACTTAACATGTAACATTTATTATGGTTTTGTGGAAAAAGCAAGGGATATAAAACTTATTTCTAAAACATCACGCCAATATTTCTAGCATATAAGGTTTGATAAAATATTTACTGGTGCTCAAAGGAGTTGAGAGATATTTTTTAATTCTCTAAAAATGTCAAAACTGTGGTTAAAACTGAAAGCAGACGCTCAGGTGAGGGACTTCATGACGGCATCTAGTTCCCTTGCTTAAACAACTCAGGTGGTCCAGAGCTTCTGATCTCCTCTTGGCATTCATTAAACATAATTAGGTCCCGCTGCATCTTCCCCCAGGCAGCCATGCTAAGTAGCTCTCGTATGGTGCCTGATGGAGCAATTACGCTCTACTGTGGTATTCACATAGAGAGATTTCCACATTTCCGGGATGAATGCATGCACAGATTGTTTCTGCATCCCTGTTTCTGTTTACTGAGTATCCAGTGATACTATTTTGGCTAGACTTTCCTATTTATAACACACAAGAAAAGGATGAGCTAGAACGCTGAGTAAGGATGATTTCAGGAAGAGTATAGGTTACTCAATTTTTTTTTCATTTAAAGTCTGTTGTTGTTTTTTCTTTTCTTCGTGTTGTTTAGTTTTCCTTCCTATCCTGTCCTCTGATATTTCAGAATCTACTGGCCAGCCAGTCAAATTTGATGCAAAATAGAGTTTTCGGAGGTGTTGAATCCCTATCTATTCATGAAATAGCAGTAACTATATTAGGGCCCTTGCTGATTGAGAGACTGCAGCATCACAGATATCACGGGTTCTTGCTGCGAGACACTGAAAACTGGACATCATTGTCCCATGCTATTGCTTTTCCTAACTTTGCGGGGGAATGTACACTACCAACAAGTTTATTTTGTGTCTCTATTGGAGTCTTAAATTATAAAATCAACAGCATAAAAATAAAGCAATAAGGATCTTCTTTAATACAGGCTTTCTAGAGTAAAGCCAAAACAAAACAAAACATTGCTGCTGTTAATGCACTCTGTCATTTAAATTATTTATGTGGAAATTATTATCTTCTCATGGTAATAGTTTCGCAAAGTGAGAGAGGTAAAGCCAGTTCAAGCATTCCTGAGTTGAGAAAATGGCAGGAAAAAGTCCTATCATTCTGGTAAGGATTGGAATTGTTTTTCCATGGTGTTGATGTTTGGAAGTTGCAACTTGCACATGGTAATTTTTCGTATCATCAGTATTATGCACCAAGAAAGGTCATGCCATAAATGTGTAACAGAGAAATTAATACATGTTTTCTTATTTCTCGTAGAACATCTATTCTTGGAATTTCATTTGGGGCTGCATTTCTCTTGCTTTCCTTCATTTTGTTTATCTGCTTTGCTGGACAGCTTTTGGTAGGTATTCAAGGAAATGTAATCCAGTAATTAATGGTTTCTTTTAAATAACATGTTCTGATTTTGCCAAGTCACTCTACCTTTGCAGAGTACCGGTTAAATGAGAAAGGCTCGCACGCTCAGGCTTCTGAGGACATTGATTTGTCCATGTTAACTTACTATAAAATGTCCTAATTTATCTGAAAAACAGAAAATGCCAGTGCAGTGACTGTCTGTACCTACGCTGATATTCACTTTTCCCCATGTGAAGCTGGATCCTCTGAGAGGTTTGCATTATCATTTGATTGATTGCCTTTTCAAATTTTTTGCTATTCTGCTTACAGGAAGTGGCTCATCTTATGAGTCCTTTAATTTGGGGGACTGTATATTTGTTTAAGTATTGTATAAGACCATTTTCTGAGTTTAGAGAATATTTCACGATAACAATTTAATTTGATATATAAAAATTTTATAGTAAAATTCTAATTTTGCCATTGAGTGGTCCAGGTGTTATTGTAATGCCTATTAGTGTACCAAATAATATGCTGAATTTGAGAACTTAATTCAAGATTTGGGCAAACCTTTCAGCATCTCACAATATAATTTGCAAGTATTATTGTCCTCCTTTCAGTCATTGTCGAATAGATCCAAGATATAACTCCATCTAGAACAAGGTATTTTGGGGTTTGTAAGAAACTGAACACAATTTTAATTTGGCATGTAATCTAGAATAAAACTATCTGTATACTTCACTTAATCCCCACTTCTCCTTCTCTACCTTTGCATTTTTCCACAAGCTCCCGTGGAGAAAGCTGAGAGAAAGACTTTTTTATAAAAGAGCAAAACATGCACATGGGAAAGACAATTACATCACTATGTAGTAAAACAGTAAGGAAAGGTGGCCTGGCAGTTGAAGCAAGAAACAGAGGAAATGGGATTTTATAATTTCTGCCTCTTCCCTTGTGAGGCTTGTAATTAACCAGGACATGCTTTTAAGAAAATGTAGTTAATCTACATTTCAGTTGTCTTTCCAATAAGGTAGGGATGCTGCCGCTGCTCAGGAATTAATCTGAGATACAATGCAACAGTATTTTTAAATATTTTAAATCCTTGGAGTGAGGTCCTAGAGGTATTGCTATTACTTAACAGCAAAAATTAGTTCTCATGTAATGTCATGCTTGATTGCTGTTTTTTATTGACATAAGAGTAAAATGATGGAGTCAGAGTACTGCTGTTGAATAAGCAAATTAAAAAAAAAAAATCCTTCAAGGAAAAGCCAGCCTTTTTCCTGTAGGAAAGAGGTGCCAATGAAATGGTACAAGAAGTGTTGGGACATACACTGTCCTGGGGCTTTTGTTTATAATGTAGCTTAGGAGGTATACAAATGTATTTTTCTGCATTTAAAGGGATGGCTAAGCAAATATCCCAAGTCAGAGTTGAGGAGTCATGCCACTTTAATAATATCTAACACCTACTTTCAATGCTGTTTTTCCTATGTCTTGTATGTACTGTAAATACTTCCCAGAAATGGAGACCTGTTATTGCATTTCTGTTGACTTGCGAGATGTCATGTTCTAACATAAATAGCTTGAAGAGGAGCTATTTATGTCTATGTCTTTATGAGTTCAGCTGCTCTAATGCAGAAGCTATGCTGCTAAGAAGCCTTTCAGCAAGTAAGTTATGACCATAGTTGATGCAGCGCTGTCTTTCCTTCACAAGCATGGACGTAGTTCTGTAAGGTGATGGATGAGAGGCAGCTAACAAAAGAGGCAGTAGGTTTATCTTTCCCCTGTCCTCTCCCTAAGATTCCTTCCTTCATGTCAAAGTCCAAGAATTGTTTTGTAGCTTTAACCACAGTGACACCCTATGTTATGTTTCAGTAGCATATCCATTGCAGTATCTGACCCGTAACTGTAAATGCTTTCTTTCTAGAAGAAAAAGCCTGAAATTCTCAAGCAAACAAATATCAATATCTGAGTTTTAACACTGTAGTGTCAGTGTTAACAGAAATCAAGCTTTATCATCCTAATCCCGATTGGATTTGGGTTTGTTTTGGGGTTTTTTTTTGCCAGTGTGGGTTTTTCCCACCTCTTTTTCTAAAAGGGTACATTTTGGATTCCCTTGCAGAACGCACGTGGTAAATGTGGATGTGCTTGTGTGTACACACACCTGCACGTAATTACAGAGTTTAAAATCACCAAATATCCTCTTCTAAAAATGCAAAAAAAAATAGAGAAGTTTTTGGGCCTGACTGACCCTGACAGATGGACTGTGGTGGGTTAGCCTTGGCTATGGGCCAGACACCCACCCAGCTGCTCACTCACTCTACCTCCTCAGCAGGCGGGGGGAGGAAAATAGGATGAGAAAGCTCTTGGATTGAGATAAGGGCAGGGAGATCACTTACCAATTACTGTCATAGACAAAGCAGACTCAACTTGGGGAAAATTAATTTAATTTATTGCCAATTAAAATAGATTTGGGTAGTAAGAAACAAAAACAACACCACTCCTCCCCCCCTCCCAAACTCAGCTTCACTCCTTCATTCCAGACTCCTCTACCTCCCCCCAGGCAGCACAAGTGGGAATGGAGGGTGGTCAGTACGTAAACATTTCTCTCTGCTGCTCCTTCCCTTCACACTTTCGCCCTACTCCAGTGTGGGGTAGGCTGCAGTTCCTTCAGGAACATCCACCTGCTCCAGCATGGGTCCTCCATGGGCTGCAACGTGGACATCTGCTCCAGTATGGAGCACCTCCTCCTCCTCCTTCTCCTCCTCCAACCTTGGTGTTCCTTCTGCTGTTTCTCACTCTTTTTGTTCCCTCCTCCTCTCTCTGCCCAACATTTTCTGCCCTTCCTCACCCAGGCTTTCCGCAAGGTGCCCACCCATGGCTGAGGGGCTCAGCCGGGCCCTGCGGTGGGGCCATTGGAGCCGGCTGGAACCGGCTGTGTCCGGCACGGGGCAGCCCCGGCCGCTCCTCACAGGGCCGCCCCTGCAGGCCCCACCACCAACCTGGGCACCTGCACCTGGTACATAAACTTGCAGTAGTAGTCCAATATTTACATGACTGTTACGAGATTTATAGCGTGTGACCTGTAGTGCCGGCAAAGACAGCAAAATCTAAGTTCAAGTTAGGACACCTGGCTGTCACTGCATTCTGCGCTTGTCTCAATACTTTGACACTTTGCCCTCTCAGTCTCCACCGGTTATAAATGGCTGTCACCACCGCAGACTAAGTCACACACACCAACTTTGAACAAGTTTCTCTGTATGATTTTCAATCCATTGGTAAATGAAAAAAACCCATCCAGACTGTAATGCTAAAATTACTAGCTCTTATGGAATTTAATTACAATATTGTCAGAAGAGATTTATGCTCACTCTTTCACTCTGAGTTTATTATTAGTTGATTTTACTGTTGAGCAGCACTGCAGCGCGGTCCAACTCAATCTGTTGTGGCGTGATAATATCAGCCATTAAATAAGAATAGGAATGTTTCCATCAAACAGTGCGGCAAAGCAGTAGCACAAATAACGAGGTTACAGACCTCCAGATCCTGCCTTTGCAGCATGTCATCCCCTGCCAGTCTTGGGCAAACAGGCTGAGGGCAGGGAGGGCTGGCAGTTCTCACAGAAACAGCCCTTTGCCCATAGCCATTAAACCTTCATCAATCCTAGCTAAAATTGGTGTATGTCCTGAAACTTGACATGGATTTATATCTTTTATATTCTGACTACTTCTTTGTGCCTATGCTTTTTTTTTTACCTTTTTGTTTTACTTTTTTAGATAATCACAGTATTCAGAGTTAAATGTTAAGATCATGAGTAATTTTGGTCTTAAAGATCCTTTTTGACTTATATTTTCATATCTTAAATGTAGGCTATGCCTTTTTATTAATTTTGAATATTTTCTTTGAATTTTCCTTGAGAGGTTTCCTTCCCAAATTACATGCAGATAAGAGGACAGAGATTGTCCTTTAGCTCATATATTTTCTGTGTCTTTTCTCTTTATCTTCTTGAAGTATAGACGAGTTCATAGAATGAGTGTGAAATGCCTCAGACCCGGTAACTGTTAGATGTGTTTTACCTCCTGATGTGAATGCAGGGAAGCAGAGATCTGGTTACCTAAATGATACATTGGAAAATGTAATGCAATCAATAGAAAAAACCCACAGTAAGCACGTAAAGGGTAGATCTCTGTGGTAGATCTCTGTGAGATCTACAATTCAAAATGCCTGGCTTAGATTTACAGGTGCCACCATGGAGTTCAAAAGCTTGGTGTTACAGTACTCATTTTAGAAGTACTTTGGTCCTTTTTATCAACAACAGGACCATTAGAAAGTATGTAAAATATAAGCTTGTATCTCTATACAAAAATCACCCTTCTCCAAGCTTAGGTCAGTGTCATCGCTGTCAGCCAGTCAGCCAGTTCTTTGGATTTGAACTTTGGTGTCTTCTTCAAGTCTGAGTGAAAAAGAGCATGTGGAAAAAATCTGAATTTTGGAGCTTTTTGTTTCTCTTGATTTCATTTTCTGTAACATCAGTATTAGTAAAATATTAAGTTGTATTTGAATGCAAAATGAAAAGAACAATAATAGAACTATAGAAAATGTGATTCACTGGCTTTCTGTAAATAAGAGGTCTTCAGTCCAGGTGTTCCAGCCTCTGCTAGCATGTGAAGGAGAAGTGTGACAGCTCTTGCAACAGTGTCTTTCATCTACAACATAGCTGTCACAATTAATTCTTGCACCAGTTCCTTGATCTCACTCAGAAAGACAGCATTCATTTTGTTAAATGCTGAAACAGGTTTTTGTGTGTGGAAAGACAACACAGGATACATTTTAATAACCTGAATATTCAAAGTAAGTTATTACTCACTATCATGCTGGGCTGTCATATCAGATTTAACATGTTCAGATGAAAAGATAATACATTAGTCACCTTTCATACTACAAATACCTATTATTTCTAGTTGGTAAATGATAAACACTGAACGATATTCTGCCAGCTCTGCTTAGAATAAGCACAGAAGCTAATGCTACTGAGATCTGATGTCTTACCCTTCTTGCATGCTTTCTAGAAATGATTACTTTCTTCCTTTCATCTCATTCTCCATTTTCTTAAGAAAATTGCAAATGAAACATAACATTTGCAAGAAAAAGTGTTTGACGTAAGCTAATGAATCAGCAAAATAAACCTGCATAGTTCTGCCAGTGCTATTAAGAGTCTGAATTTAACCATCACCCCACCATTCCAGCTCTGCTTCCAGGAGTTCCCTAGATTTTCAGCAGTACTGAACTGCTACAGTTGTACTATATATGGACTGGATTTAGACTGCTCAAAAGTGAAATGAAGTTCAGCAAATCTGTTAATTCACATAGAGAATTACCGATCAACAGTGTATTCTTTCATGTTTTCCAAGGAATTTCTACTCAATGGTTTAAAGATTTTTAGCGTGGGTCAGGGTTTTGTCACAAATTTTCCTTTCAGGAGCCTCATTGGCTTAACCTATGTAGGCTGTGCTCTCTGCTATTAGAGAGACCTGTCATCTATTTAACAAACCAGGTGGGCATGACAGATGTACCAAATAAACAGTGGTCTTTCCCCTCCAGAACTCAGAGCTGTGCATTAAACAGCCTGTCAAGAAATGCATCACTGAGTTCTGGTGTGCTTCTGTTTTACAAGTGGAAATAACTATACAACTTCATTTTTGAAGTTGCAGCCTAACAACACTCACATTTTTCTTCAGGTCAGAACCAGCAATATCTGTAATTTTAGCAATAGCAGCTGGAAGAATGGAATCTCTTTCTTGATTAATCACACTGGCTGAATGATACATTGTTTCCTGAATTTTATTTTATTCTCCAGAACTTTTCTTAGTGATAAACTTGCGCAGAGAACTTTTTTTTTTTAAATGGAATCAGAAAAATAGCTTTTTAAAGAAATGTAGAAAATCAGTCCAATTAGTTCCTCCTTGCTAAAATGCATTAGCAAAGTCAGGTGATATTGATCAAAAATCTTGTAAACAAAGGAAATTTAGAATTATTGCAAGGAATTTTGGTACAGAAGTTACATAAGTCTGTTCAAAAGTATACAGGTACTTGGAAAGCAATAAAGCAGTCCTCAGCGATAAATGCAGTTCTCAGCATGGACGTTATCCTAAAGGCTTTCCTTGAACCGTATAGCTCCCTGTAACGTAATTCAGAAAGGAGAACACGATGTACTGCCTTATCTATATAATTTCTTGTCCGCTTTATATTCCTTGTACTTTTTCAGTGTTCCTGCCTAGTTTTGTCTCTAATCCAATTTAAACTATTCCAGCTACTTCTAAAATTCCAAGAAAATCACAGAACAATGTAGTCTTTAGGATAAGAAATTCCAAGAAAAGAAGCTAATGATGAAAATAAATTATCTGGCCTAAACCAGATACATTTTATTATGAATTTTACTGTTGTAGTAAAGCTCCAGGTGTGCTATCACAAAGGCAAAGAATAATTTAAGGCATGATTTAATGATTGTTTTAATTTGCCATAAATGCATGCTCCCTGACTCATTAGGTTTTAGGCAGACTAGACAGATAATTGATCATTTTCACACAGATCCATTCCCTGCATCCAGTTGAACACTCCCCTTCTGTAGCAACAGCAGCAACCTTGGCTTTGTGCTTTTTACTTTATTAAAGTGGCAAGGATGACAAAACTTTTCTAAAGTCTACATGTGGATTCAAATTATCTTGAAATTTGCTGTGTACTTAGGGGTGGAGACAAGGTTTGGAAGTTCAAAAAGGCATTTGAGCAGGAGTTTCTTGCTCAAAAATGCACATCTCTTGAGTTTATATGGGGTTATTTTCATGTCCATCCTTGAGATTCTGATTATTGTTTTGTCCTTCCTGAAACTGACTTCATTCAGTCAGAATCTGCCCAATCCACTATGCAAAACTCCCTGTCATAAAAGGAAACAATATGTAAAAAAAGTCTAGATATACAATGGACTTGTCCAAATAGTGTGTAATTGGGAGGGAAATAGTTATGTGCAATATGACGAAGACCTTCATGTAAACTACATCACATGTGTTGGGTAATAGTGCAGTTTAGCGTGATGTGCCGTAGTTCTTGAACCTGAACTAATAGATAAGTGCTGTGAATTAAGTCCTATATTTGGTAGTTTTTAGTGCTTGAGTTCTCATTTCAGAGAATTCCTGTGCTTGTATCTCTGCTGATTGCTGTGGCTGGGGTGAAAACAATATGTAAATTCATCTCTGATAATATTAAGTAAATAGAGAAAATGAGTTGATAAAAAGCGAGTACTTTTGTGGGACTGTCGTGTTCCTTTTCATTGCCTTTTTTACGGAGGTTTCAGTATAGCTGAAATTGACATTTGGAAAGGGCACAAGATGCTTCTAGGCAACCTTATCTCCTTATTGCTAAAGTTTTGGGAAAATTAATATTTACTGGATGTGCCACAAATTGTTTATTCTGTGTGAGCATCTTGTGCCTCTAGGCACTATGCATGTATGAATGGAGGCTATTGCAATGTGTTCTTGGAAGCAGGTTAAATGAGTCAGAGTTTTTTACTGTTAATTTTTGCCACTATATAAGAAAAAATTTCTATTCACTAAATACTCTTTGTGTCAAATTGTCAGTCTGATTGTTGTATGAAATGCTTATTTGTTTTCTAAATAGTTTTGGAGAAGGTTGATTTGCTTTGCTGAGTTACCTTTCACTTAAAATGAACTATCAAACAAATCTCCAAACCAATGAAAGAAAAACCCAGAAACCCCACTATTTTGTAGACTGCCAGGGATATATCTATGTATACAGCCTTTATCCTGCGTGAGGACACCTCTGTCTCTCTGTCAAAGACTTTGCAGAGTCATTAATTACATTTTGAAGTTTCCAGAAGCTACTAAATATTGCTCTTTCAATTGAGGTGAGGGAGGTCAGTTTGTTTGCTTGTTTTTTACTGATATTAGAGGTAATGACACTGCTGTCAACTCGGTATTTGCTATTATTAGTAATATATATTGAATGTTTAATAAGGTACTCGCAAATTATAATTATTTAACAGAATTGATATTATGGCAGATATTTTAACTAAATTTGCATTTAGTTTCATGTATAATCATGATCTGTAATTCTTATGAGATTATAATAGTTGAATACTTCTGTACAAAGTCTCAAGATTAATGCTGCCCTCAATCTTGAGCCTTCTTAATTCTACCCGTGTTTATAGTAATTAAATATACTGAAGTTATTTTTGTTTTCTCTTTTTTAAACTCTTTGCACTTAGCAATGTAGCAAGAAAGCATCAGCTTCACTGTTGTGGATCCTGAAATCATCTGGAATAATTGCAAACCGTCCTTGGCCACGGATCACTCTTACATTGACAACCACTGCTATAATATTAACTATGGCTGTATTCAACATGGTAAGGGGAAAAAGGGTAATTTTTCTTGGTTTTTTTGTTCTTTTAAGAGCTTTTTTTTTTGTTCAGTATTTGATTAGATGTCAAATTTATGGCCCGTGGCTATGCCAGGAACATACATGATAGTGATTGCCAGAGACAGAAATGTAAAGCAGAGCAACAGAAAACATACTGTATAATGGGGACCTCTGCAAACAGGATACTCGGCAAGAGCTCGGATCTTGGCTAAGTTTATTAAAGAAAAATATAATGTATGAGGAATAGAAGGTAGTTAAATCACAGGTTTGAATTGTTCAAATCCCTTGCTTATCTATGCATTGCTTAGAAAGACAGAGTATGGCTCAAAGAGTGAAGTATCTCTTCACAGGTTGTGTGGAAGACTGTGTGAAACAAACTAAGCTTTATTCAGATTTGTGATGCTCCTCTGCTGATCACAAAATGATCATAATGCATACATTAATGAATTTCACATGCTTGTCTTTTTTTTTTTTTTTAAAGGAAAAAAATTCAAAGTTACATCGAAACTTCAAAAGTACTGAACTACAAGTTTGTTAGGGTTTACCTCTACTTTAGGCATTTCCATCTGTGCTTTTCTTTTCTCTCCTAATAGGGAAAATCCATGTAATTCTATTAGGCTTTTGTAACTATAGCAAATACAGAGTAGATCTGTCATTAGTCTGCATAAAGCCTGAATCTTAATGTCCTCATTTATTCTGAAGGATGTGTTGGCTAATGGGATAAGCAATATATGGGATCAAAAAACTTCCTTTGTTTTGCCCTATTGGCTGAGCCTGGTTCTATTTGTAAACATGTGAAAGTGTTCCAGCTCAGTTCTGTATCTGCAAAATGGCAACTGTAATATTTATTTAGGTAATGTTTTCATTGCAACATTAATGCATAGATATTAGTCACCTTTCAAGTGAGAGATTTGCACCTCAGTGCTTTTGAAATTGCAACTCTAGCGCTTCCTTGAGTTGCTGGTGCTTTTGTTACTTGAGGTTCAGAAAGGACTTAAAGGTTGATAATACCCACACTGTTTTATTTTGTTTTCCCACAACATTTCAGGGGACCCTTAGTCAATCATTTGTTACAGTAGGTACTAAACTTGTCAGAATGATGTAATGATGTAATGTGGGCTTTTAAATGTGAAAACTTGAAATTTCTCGTAGAACCTTCTCTCCATTTTTTCTATTAAATGATCCTAGTCTTGTTTTTGTTGGTTTTCTTTTCGGGAAAGTAGATATTTTCCTTTCTTTCTCCTGCTTTTTTTAAGGAGAGGAGATAGACTCAAAAACAATTCCATGTTCACGAATTTAAAATTCAGCTAATTGAATTTGGTGTTTAAGGCTGGAAAATGAGAAAATCAGCTCACTTTTTAGCAGTGAAGGCAGTTAGCAATGGGAACAAATTATTCGGAAAAGTTGTTGATTCTCCATCACTTCTTATCCTCAGCTGAAGACTATATGCCTTTATGAATGATAACCTTTAGCCAAGCTAAAGTTATTTGGCATACTACAGGACAAATCCTGGAGATGGAGTAGCTTGTAAAATGTAGCTCAGATTAGACTTTCTTTTATTTTGAACTGTATAAGTGTATAAGGGGAAATGAAATAACCTACTTGGTTTTAAAGTATACTTTGAGTTAGAGGTCATGCAACCATGTGGTTAGTTATTAAGCTATAAAGTGTAAAAGAAGATATGGTCAGCAACTGTTTTTTCCTTAGACTGAAGTTGTACTACTGTGTACAGCCCACTTCAAATTTGGCCTTCAACTAGTAAAAGACATTTTAGCAAAAAAGCAGTTGTTTGGTACATCATTTTTAGAAAAAGTTCTTAGTTTTATTGGTTCAAGTCCACTTTTATGTGGACTGAATGCTACAGTAAAACTTAATAGGTTGTATTTTAAAGTTTTTGTGCCTTATCAGTAATGACTGCAGTATTACAAATAATCATGTTCCATGATATTCATGAGATGATAATTTTAAGTATAATTCCCACCTTGAAGCTAAACCTTAATAGTTTGACTAGCAAAAATGACTTTAAATGTGATTGTGAAATTTGCATTTCCTTAATATTAATAGCAAATTGTGGGAGAGACTCTGAAGTATCATTATTATATCTCCAAGCAACATGTACTTAATAGCAGAGTCCGTTAACTGCATTTATTTCTATGAACTCTTTCAGTAGAAAAAGGCAAAATGTAGCCATTAAGATTTAATGGAGATAAAAAGCGTCTAGCCATCCCACACCTAATAAATCATAATTAAGACCAAAATGTCAAATAAAACTCAGTCTTTATGGTCAAGGGACATTAGAAAAGAGTGGGGGTGCAATTTTATTTCAAATTAGCTGTTTCAGCAGACATCTGAATCTAGTCTTCATGTTTGAGCGGTATATAGTCATGATCAGTGGAGGGAAGTTAAAAAACAGCTAATGTGACATAAGTATCAAATACTTCTTAGCTGAAGGGAGAGGGTGACTAATGCTGCTTCCATTGAGCGTTAGATCTGGTGCCATATATAGAGCAGGGCAACAATCAATGGCTGAGGAAAACTGTTTTTGCGAAGCTGACCTGCATTAAACCAAACATGAGAAAGTATATTGCAGGGAACAATCCAGACATCTCAGAGAGACAGTAGGACTGCATGACTGCAAAGGGTTGGTTCTTGGAAGCTGAATGAATGACTGTATACAATACAACAAATGATTGTGCCTCACCATCCTCTGGGATTCATGTGATCTTGAGGAACATGGCACGATGTAAGAGCCCTGGAACAGCTCTTTGTTTCAGTGACTTCTGCATCGAATGCATGAACAGTTCTTGACACAGCAACAGGATCTCAGGGCTATACTGTCCCAGGAAGGTGCCCTAACTGCCAGCTTTCAGATTCAGGGTCATAGAGTCACAGAATCATAGAATAGTTTGGGTTGGAAGGAACCATTAAAGGTCATCTAGTCCAACCCCCCAGCCATGGGCAGGGACATCTTCAACTAGATCAGGTTGCTCAGAGCCCCGTCCAACTTGATCACGAGTGTTTCCAGGGATGGGGCATCCACCACCTCTCTGGGCAACCTGTGCCAGTGTTTCACCACCCTCAGCATAAAAAATTTCTTCCTTCTATCTAGTCTGAATCTACCCCCTTTAGTTTAAAACCGTTACTCCTTGTCCTATCGCAACAGGCCCTGCTAAAAAGTTTGTCCCCATCTTTCTTATAAGCCCCCTTTAAGTACTGAAAGTATTTGTGTTCAGTTTTGGGCCCCTCACTACAAGAAGGACGTCGAGGTGCTGGAGCGTGTCCAGAGGAGGGCAACGAGGCTGGTGAAGGGTCTGGAGAACAAGTCTTATGAGGAGCAGCTGAGGGAACTGGGGTTCTTTAGCCTGGAGAAAAGGAGGCTGAGGGGAGACCTCATCGCTCTCTACAACTACCTGAAAGGGGGTTGTAGCAAGGTGGGTGTCGGTCTCTTCTCCCAAGTAACTAGCGATAGGACGAGAGGAAATGGCCTCAAGTTGCGCCAGGGGAGGTTTAGGTTGGACATGAGGAAAAATTTCTTTACTGAAAGAGTGGTTAAACATTGGAACAGGCTGCCCAGGGAAGTGGTGGAGTCATCATCCCTGGAGGTTTTTAAAAGACGGGTAGATGAGGCGCTTAGGGACATGGTTCAGTGGGCATGGTGGTGTTGGGTTGACGGTTGGACTCGATGATCTTAGAGGTCTTTTCCAACCTTAATGATTCTATGATTCTATTCTATGATTCTACGAAAGGCCACAATAAGGTCTTCCTGGAGCCTTCTCTTCTCCAGGCTGAACAACCCCAACTCTCTCAGCCTTTCTTCATAGGAGAGGTGTTCCATCTCTCTGATCATTTTTGTGGCCATCCTCTGGATGTTACTTGCTTTCCTGTCTTTTGTCCAGTGAATTTTGAACAACTGGACTATTTCCTTTGACAGAACATGTCTATAGAAATGTGAAGACTGACAAAGGTTTGAGTGTTTTTGCTCCATTTTTTAATGTACATCTGTGAGCACGAGCTGCCTTAAATGATTCAAGTATTGGTCCCATATTTTTCTCCCTCTAGTCATGGCTGATATCCCGTGCCAGTATTTATGATTGATATGATGCCAGTATTTGCGATTCTCCATATTCTTCTTGGGGCATTCATGTGGGGATAAATTCCTGACTCAGCTGCCAGACCAACTGGCATTTTTCAAAGGAAGCAGTGATAGGCATTTCGCGAAGAAAGTTCTCCTAAGCCACATGGGTATTTGGAGAGTTGGTAGAAAAATCAAAAACAAAGAAGAGGACTCCTGCATGTTTGCCTCAGAGGTTCAAACAAAAGAGCGATGCTGAACAAAAGCATCATTGCTTCGGGTTTTTTGTGTTAAGAAAAATGTAAATCCTCTAGTTCAACCTATGATACCAGACTTGCATGCTTCTGCCATACTTAAAAGTATTCTCTTCTTACTCTATCTTTTTCTGAACAAAAGAGCAGGGCACAAACATGAACAACTTTGTTTACAACAGCACTATAAAAACTGTAGACCATTGTGTCTTGAAGAGATTGCATAGATCTTCTGGAATGGCAGAAAATTAATTTAAAGTATAGTTGCGTGTTCGTGTGAGGCAAGGAGGAAATGGGGAGAGAGACGGATGGTGACAATGATGTTTTTTATACTGTTCTTTATAGTCTTCACATGTCCATTTCCAGTGTAATTTTGTATCATAAGGAAGAGAAAACAATGATGGGACCAAATTAAACGTAAGCTGTAAATTCAGTTGAGCTGCATTTTTTGGTAGCATGCCAGACCTTTGTTTTTGCTGCTTATGTGTTTCCATTGATTAAGCACAGCTCTGCTGTGGGACTGCTGATCCTGGAGCACCTAATTCCTAAAGAGCTTACCTCTGAGCCATGGGGTTTCTTGCTGGTGTGCAAAAGGGCACTTGTTAGTGTTCTGAGGGTAGCCTATGCCTTCTTTTTGCACAGAAAATGATATTAGTATTTGTCTTTACAGATGGCTACTGCATGACATCGTGCTACCACAGGTTGATGACCACAGCTGAACTATCTGTGGCACTTGAATCAATCAATATTGCCTTTTACTCTGTGATTCAGTAGTTCAATGGAGGGGTATTTCCCAGCTCTCTCCCTCCTGCCCACCTGTCACAGGGTCAACCCATTCACACAGTAACTATTGAAACTTTACACGTTTTATTGTTTATTCCATAATTGTTTAATTCAGTGGGCATTTGATTAGTGCGCTTAATATTAAATTCTGCCGCCTTTTCTTCTTCTCAGTAGGATGCCATTTTATGCACATTAACACAGAAATCAGCAAGCCCGCTTGCTTAGTAAGGTGAGATACAACCCATCTGACTTAGTCACATTTTCAGGCTGTCGGACCGTGTTCATTGTGACACCTTGGTTCTGGTGCCTTGTGGATTGTAGAGAAGGGTTGAAAGTACCTTGGTGAGAAAGTTGGCTTTGTTTTTAGTAAGATCTAAACTAGTGTATTATATAGTCTTCTGCAGATTCTTGGTCAGATAACAAGAGAGATGCACTAACTTGCTTATCCCATGTTGTGGGGGGAGGGTCTGTCACCACATGGCTCCTATTGAAAGAAATAGCAGCACAGCAGGTATTTTCATCATGTGAGGCAAAAAACTCACAACTGAAGATTGCAGATTATACGAACACAAGAAAAGAAAAAGCTGTTAGAATATATGAAGTTAAAATGAGAATTTAATGGTAGTGTGCTCAGATGTTCCCTTGCAAACATTGGTATTCATAAAAAAATATTGCTTTCATTTGAGTCATTTGAGTAGGTGTGACTGCTTAGTAGGACTGAGCTGTCTCTTACAAAAAAATACTATGTTGAAGAACAATATCTATCTCCAAAGCGTGATAGCAAATGTAGATAACTGATGAGAGACAAGAAAGACAAGTACAAACATATCATTCAGAAATAAGTGTTGTTTGGCTCATGGGAGATGACATTTCCGTATCCTTTTTTTTTCCTTTCTATATTTATTTATGTATTCATAGATATACCACATTTCATATAGCATTCTGTGTATACAGGTAACATTTATAGGTCAGAAATGCCCTGTACAAAGCTCAAAACCAAAATTAAAATGCTTTAATAGAAATTAATATATATAAATATATATACACATATGTTTATATAATATACTTTGAGTTCTTCATGGTATATAATCTTTTGCTCTGTGGACATGTGTGGGATGGGATTCTGAAACTAAATACAGTTATTTCATGTTTGCAAAAAAAGTAAATGCACTATTAGTGGGCTGTGGGGACTCTCTTTGCCCATCCTTGGCAAATGACCTGGTTAACAACACCTATTAAGATGAGAATGTCAATTTAAATAGTTGGGGGCAGGGAGGGGGATTAAATACTTAAAGCTGTCTGGAGGGCCTTTGCCCAAAATTGTTCCTGTTAAAGAGGAAGACCAGCATCAGCTGAGTTAAACAGTAACCAAGGGACTTCTGAAGGAATTCTGAAATAAAGAAGGAAACAGTGTGAGAAGTATAAAAGAAGCATGGAAATTTTTAACAGGAGGCAGAGACCTATGAGTGGAAACAGCTGACTGTCAAAACCTGTTTTGACACTGCCATAAGTCACCCCTCTGGCATCCCACCTCTGCCTCGGCCAGCGAGAGCAGCCTCCCTGTTGGATACTGTGAGCTGCCTGCTCTGCCACTGGGCAGGCAACAGTGTGGGCTGTGACAAGCAGGGACCCACACCTCAGGTTCGTCTGTGCGCAGGAACTTGCAGGGTGCTTTCTCACTAGCATGTGCATTAACAATTTGTAAGGAGTTGCACAGGTGCGCATAAAGCTAGAGCACCCACATCTCCTTACAGGAGGGGTGTGCAAGTAGGGTAACCCATACTCCCAGAAGAGGGAGTGTGTGCGTGTAACCCACACGTCCTGTGGGAAGGGGCAGATGTTCATATAACTCTCTGTGTGTGTGCATGTTTAGAGCTCTTTGGGATCAGTTATAGAAGGGTGTTTCAAAATCCCTAGGCCTTTATTAACATTTTGTAGGGTCTGGTTTCGCGGGTTATCTGTCGTATTACTGATCCTGATCCTGAATATATAGTTCATGGATTGTGGGTTAATGATGTGTAGTTGCACATAAACAGTCAGAGAAGCATGTTAGTGAAGGAGGACAACCTGAAAGTGCAATTGTACAAACAAAGGTGAATGCCAACTTCTTGTAAAGCAGTCTTGGTAGCAGGTGGCATATCGATCGCCTTTGCAAGTCCGCAGGTGGTCCTGCTTCTGTTGAAGGGGTGTTACAGAGATTAGTTTCAAACTCTTCTCAGCAGTGCCACAAAACATATCAAGGGGCACTGACCACGGGTGGTGGCTTGGGAGGTTGGATAGTCTTTAAAAAGAGAAAAAAGTCACTGTGCACATAGTACAATGCTGGGACATGTTGCCAAGGGGGATTGTGGGGTCTCCATCCTTGGAAGCTTTCAAGACTTGGCTATACAGAGCTGCAGCTGACCTAACACAGATCTAGTGTTAGTTAGTAAACTAATAAACAATTTTGATCCACATTTGGTTACTCTGAGTAAAACTGAGCAGTTTTTCTCTGGGGCAGTAGGTAAAGACGGATGGGAAAAGAATTTAGAGGTGGGTTACAAACCGGCTACCTGCAGAGGACAGCAGGTGAGAGGGAGGCAACCTGTGGAGCTCTGCAATGGTCAACCCGGTGTGGATTTTCATATACAGTGTATGAGAGGGACTGTGAAATTTGCTAATGAAATTAAGGGGACAGGCAATGTCTGTGAGGGAAAGCTTGGGATTTTAGAAAGGAAGAAGTCAGCTGAGGATTTGAGTAAAAGAACTAGGATGAAATTTAGTAGTACAGAGTGCAAGATTATGGTTGGTCTGACAGACCAGTGACAAGAAATTCTGATGCAAGTTGGAAGCTCATCAGATGGAGATGCGATGAGTTCAGGGTTTTAATTAATTATGTGGGTTTAATGACAACTCAGCTGAATCACAATAACCATCCATGTGACTGCTCTTACCTCATGGTAAGCATAAACCAAATTTACCTAAGTGAGTCCTAATGAAGGAAAACTACCTCACATTTGCTGAGCATGATATTAGTGGCTGGGATTATGTCAATGTGCAGCAATGTGTTAAGCTGCCATAATGTCATGATCTGTCTGAGCCCCACTTGCGTGATGTACGGTGAGCTATTAAAGTTTTGTACCTGTGAGCAATGGAGCTGTCATTCTAGTATGTATAAAAACATATTTTCTGCAGAATTAGTATTAATGCTATTGCACAACTCACTGATAAAATCTGGGAAGTGTGTTTGCAGTTTTCGTCACCCAGAAGGTTGAATTAAAAGAGGTATGTACAGAGGGTGACTACTAGAATGATCAGGGCAATAAAGAGCTTGTTTTCTTGGAAGAAACTAGAAAAACATAGATTGCTGACCATCGTGAAGGCTGAGTTGGCATTAAATATTGGTAACGTAAATACTAGGGAGAGAAAGGAGCTATCTGAAAGCTAAAGGATGAGATTAACACAAGAAGAAAAAAACATGGGAACTGGCCATGAATGCTGGTTAAACTTAGAAACAGTTTAAGTGGTGAGATTCAAAGCAGTGGAATTAATGTAGTCTAATCTAACTCGTTAAAGCACTGGATCAATACATCAAAGGGTACTGTATGATGGTGGTTACCTGTGACATCAACTGCCTGAATGTGATGACCCAGGAGATACCGGTTCCAGTCTTCTGTTTCAATAACCTTAGTACCAATATTATCGTCATCGTTATTATGAGAAGGATTATGTCTGTGTAAATCAACATCAGTAAAGACTTCTTATTCTTTCTTTAATTCTTCCTGTGTTTAAATAGGAGGTTCAGTTGAGGTAAACCCAGGAATTACTCATATTGAATTTATTTCATCATTGTCTCTCATGTGTGTGAGCTTCTGATATATGAAAGTAACATAACAAAGAGCCTTTCGTCTTCTATTCAAACGGAAAGTGTCAGATGGAGGTTAACAAAGCTGTTTTTGTCTGAGCGTGCAGGAACAAGTAATCAAGTGATGTCATTTTCCCTTTTCTATTTCAATTTGCAGTGAAATACCAAAGTTAAATGATTACTGGCAAGGCTTTCTCCGCTTCTCCATTTCTCTTCTCTAGTTTGACCTTAAACAGCTGACAAGCTAATGGATTATATGTTGTTTTTCTCTAGTTTTTCCTGAATAATGCTGTGAAAGCTTTTCCCTCAGTTCTTAATTCATCAAATGCGAGTTTTCCTAATTCGAGTAACCAGACACGGTGGTGTATACAAAACAACTGTTTTTTCCTACCGGTAAGTTCATTTTACATTTCTTTGTTTGTTTACAATAATTACACTAAATTGACTGTTGCTGGATCTGCTTGAAGTTAAACACCCACCAGTTTTTAAGACTGCAGCGAAAGCTTGATTTTTTTTTTCAGTCACCTGCAACTGCATTTGAAGGAAGTGGGAAGTTAAAGGAGGTTAGTACTTCTGAAAATAGAGGTTTTAATGAATGTCAGATTAAGAAGCAGGAAACAGTCTGGTAACTAAGAAGCGTAGCTCACCCATGCCAACAAATGGGCATTACGAGATATCAGGAGAACACATGGCAACTGCAAAGCAGACTGTGCACTGAAAGCTCCACATCGCTGTCAGTGAGAAAATCAGGTCTGTCTGCAGATGGGTTTCACAAGGACCAGTGGTAGACTGAAAATATTCACCACTTTCATCATTGACCTGGCAGTAAATGTGAAATCTGTGATCGTCATACTTCTGTCATTGCATATTTGATTAGGAGGTGGGGTGAGAGGGGGGAAATACAACACTCGTGTGCTACTATATAACCTGTTTAAAAGATCTGAACTGATTTGAAGAAGATGTCTTAGTGTGAACAAAAGCACAGCGGCACAGGCAAGAGGGGGAAGGACATTCTGCAAAAAAAGGGATCTGTATCCTACAGAGCAATGATTCTTAAAGGGATTACAAAAGACCTGCAGCTGAACATAACAAGCTGTATTAGTATTAATGCTATTGCACAACTCACTGATAAAATCTGGGAAGTGTGTTTGCAGTTTTCATCACCCAAAATAGGTCAATAGTCTTTGGATGAATAAGCAGCAGGCAGCGAGAGGAGAAGGGAGATTATTTTATCTCTATGCAGAATTGATGAGACCAGTACCAGAATGGTGTGTGCTGATTTCCACACAATATGTTTTACATGAAACAGCTATTCACTATGTCAAGCTAAAAAATCCTAGGCACACAGAAAAGCAAGATGTTAATTATGTATAGAACTCTCCTGGAAAAAAACAGTTGCAGTAGCTGCAGCACTTACAAACTTTCAGCATCTCCCTGATAAAGCGACAGCAGAGCATGAGTTTCTGTTTCTCATTTTCAAATTTAGCTAACTAAATACCACCAGGTACGGATAGGTGCCTACGTCTTCTTTTGGCCCTGATGTCAAGTTATCCTTATTGTCAAAGAAATGATGCAGTCCTTCTCCCAGCCTCTGCCTATGTTCATGCGCACAAGCACATAAAAATAAATTGTTCCAATGCTTATTTATATTTGTTTGCTTTTTTAGTTAGTACCTTTCTAGTCATCTTTTTTATATTACTTGTTATAGTTTTGAACATCTTGAAAGGTATTTTTTTTTCTTTTTTACCAGTAAGTTCTCCCACAAGCATCTGAAGGATACGGTTTTCATAAATTATACTTATGATTAAGATTCAATCTGCTGTTCTTAAAAAAAAAAAAATCTTTGTGTATCTTTTTCCTTTGTTTTCCCATGTATAACTAAAATATTTGTCAGCTCTTCATGTGATTGGCACATTTCTAATAATTAGTGGTTTATAGATTTTAAACTATTAAAATGCATTATTTCATCAAAGAAACTTTGTCTTTGATATATTGGCACAAAAATTATGTTAAAATGTCAGTTCTGATAATAACAAATGAAAAGGTTAGGTTGGCTAAAGTTTTTAAACATGTTTTCCCTCACTTTTTTTATTAAAGAGCTCACAAATGCATGTCATTTTCATCCTTAGGCACTGTATAACTTCTAGCTTGAAAAAGCTACAAATTCCTTTTGAGTTATTACTTTGTTTTGTTTTGTTTTGTTTTTAAATCTGGAAATAAAATTATTCTCTCTTTACTGAATGAGATACTGAATACTTAACCTGACAAAAGATTGTTTCCTTAACTTAAGAATTCAATCTTTTGAATCTGTGTGTTAGCTTTAAGCTTTATTCATGCAGATAAACTTCCTGTGACTTACGATAGTGGACCTGACATATCTATTGACTATGTCATCTAAAATGAGTGAATAAGAGATTTTTGAATTATTTCAGCCCCAATAGAATTTAGTTCATTTTGAAGCAAACTAATTGATTCTCCCCCTCCTTCACCCCCCCAAAAATAACTTTTCTGAGTTGTATTGCTTGCTTTCTTGCTCTCTTTAAAGACTTAGGAAAGATTACACAGTAAGTTTTAGGGACTTTGCTTGTGTTTTAGGTATTGTTTAGTTTTGCTATGATGCTTCTGTAGTCTCCATGTAAGAGAAGTTAGGCCTGGGAGATTTCAAGTTGTGCATATCTCTTCCTGTGCTAAAATACAGTGTGGTATCAGTGCTGCCACCTCCACATGTTAAATAAATAAAAGTCATAATACTGACTTCTAAAAGATGCAATGTTGGAATACACTTTATTTGACTAGGGAATTCCAGAATAACTTTCTTTTCAAGTTTTTCTCCATAGATGTATTGGAGTAGAATCCCTTTTTACTTTAGTAAAGATCTTTATAACCACAGAACTGTAGGTCTTAAATTTTAAGAGAAGAGACCAAATGCACTGGGCTGGAGATAAGATGCTAAGGGTGTAGTGCACCGGTCAAGGCACTGGGCCTGTGACCTCGGTAAGAAAGGCACTCAGACTCTGTAAGGTACTCGTTAAAATACCATTTATTGGAGCTAGCACAGGAAGACAAAAGAGGGTAGGTGAGTTACATCCCTTCAGATGCTGGGAACTCTGAATCGTGCAGCATCAGATGGTCCTCCGGTCAGGGACGGCATGTGGTACAGATCCCATCTGTGGAGAGGTTACCCAGCATTTTCCTCTTTTGAGCTCTTACAGGATTCTCTTAAAAGGAAACATTTCTATTCGTCATTTCTGCTGTCAGACAAAAACGATGTCCATGAGAACTTGCTGCTGCGGTGTTAGATAAAGTCAAGGCCACACAGGCAGCATAACCACCGCTGCCAAGTGGGAAGCTGCCTGCAGGCTCTCTGGTTGCAATAAGTTGGCTGAGCTGGCTGAGGTTATCCCACAGTCAAGGGATATGCAGAGCACAGCATGGACCTCGCCTGCTCAGCGTCACTGCTATGTGGATTGCTAACTCTTCAGTGTTGCATGTCCAGAGAAGGACAACAAAGCTGGTGAAGGGTCTAGGGAACAAGTCTTGTGAGGAGCGACTGAGGGAGCTGGGGTTGTTTAGCCTGGAGAAAAGGAGGCTGAGGGGAGACCTCATCGCTCTCTACAACTACCTGAAAGGAGGTTGTAGCGAGGTGGGTGTCAGTCTCTTCTCCCAAGTAATGGGTGATAGGACGAGAGGAAATGGCCTCAAGTTGCACCAGGGAAGGTTTAGATTGGATGTGAGGAAAAATTTCTTCACCGAAAGGATTATGAAGTATTGGAACAGGCTGCCCGGGGAAGTGGTTGAGTCACCATCCCTGGAGGTATTTAAAAGACCTGTAGATGCGGTGCTTAGGGACATGGTTTAGCGGTGGACTTGGCAGTGTTAGGTTAACGGTTGGACTCAATGGTCTTAAAGGTCCTTTCCAACCTAAATGATTCTATGATCTTTTGGTCAGGGTCACTACAGAGGATTGGTATCACTGCAACTCTCTGCCTTGCAAAAAGCCTTAATGCCTGTGTAGTCTGAGCCCTTTTTATTCTTCAGTAGGTTGTACAGAGGTGTAGGATGAACAAGACTGAAACAGCTCTTCACTAAGAAACAAGCCCAGTGTACCTGCACACAAATTTTTTTTCCCAGCTGGGCATTAATTCTTCTGTAGGAAAGTTCATGTTCATTTGATGAACCAAGAGCAGACCGCTTGGCCCAGGGGACAGGCTGCCGTTCGTCTGACAGCTTGCAATTTTTGTGCTTTGACAACGACCAGAGCTCTCATGCTATACATATAACAGTAATTCCACCAGTCCTGATCTTCTCTATGGCTACTTTGACTGTTCCTGTTACTGTTTTCCAGTATCTTGCCTGCTTTGTAGCTGCATGCATCCTTCTGAGAAGCTAGCTAGAATGCCAGTTACCTTTATTCCTCTGCAGTGTATCTTTTGAAGCATTTTGTCTTGCAGTTCCTCCTCTGATTTTTTTTTCCAAGCCCTTATGCATTAGTCTCAAAAGCTGAAAGGGTTAGAGAAGGATTCAAGCTACAATACTTTAAGCGTCTACTAAAATTTGCAAATTCTGTTATTAAGAGGGTGAAATTTCAGTTCCTTTGACAGGAATTGAAAGATTCGTTTGCAATGTTGAGCACTCAGAAACAATAGTCTTGAATATATGTACGATACAGTTGGAAAAAGGTTTATTTAAGGTGGCATTTTCAAAAAAAAGCTTCATAACCTGGTGTGGTTGTTCAAGCGGAGTTGCCTACAGACTCATTTCCATATCTGCTTGTTGCTTACTGGAATCTTCCATTGCAATACACAATACCGGAGTCTGCATTCTTAAATGTGTGGCTGTGCCACTCTTCTCTAATCCATCCACCCTTGTTTGAAATCTTAGCTGAAACTTTCAATCTAGTTTATGTATTCCTATGGAACACTAACAGAGACTGTCTGTTTCACTTGGAAGTTTCTTGGTCTTTGTCAAACTGCATCCAGTTTTGGATTCAAGACTGCCTTTTGTTTGCTTGTTTCTTTTTGGAAAACTAATTTCACGAGTAGAATGCCTTACAGAGTAAAAAATGGATGCTGCTACTTTTATGTAACACTGAATTCAGAGTGTGACCTCCTGTGGAATGCAGCCATCAGAGAAGTTTTATTTTTGATGATTCTGAACAGCAGTTCTTTCTATTTCTTATTTCAAGCAGATTACAGTAACAGCAGAGATTCAGATGGCAGATCAATTCTGTCTGATGGGTGCTGTGAAAATTATTCTTAGTGATCCTCCAAAATTAGTATGCAGTGATTCAGGTTCTGTCAAAAGTACTGCCATCAACAAGTCAACAGTAGTCTGAAAATAGCATATCTAGAAATAGAATGCTTTGTGGTTTCAGAAAAGATAACTTTCTTACAAGGTGCAGGACCGTAATTTTCAGGAAGCGTCTTTGGCAAAGATGCTGTATGTTAAGGACTAAGATAATGATTCTAGTGAGAATGTATTACTCCTGTTTTAGCACTGATTTTGATGCCCTAATCCATTTCCACAAAGTATCCAGAGAAAATGTTTTTACAGGAATTTAACTTCAATCATACATATTTTTGTTGATATAAATGACAGAGGAAAGAAAAGGCTTTTTTTAAACAATTGAATGTGTTCTTATGTCATCGTAACTCAAGAGGATCTGACAGAAGGATTTTTTTACATTTATATTACGTATAGGCCATGTTAATAATTTTATGTTCTTCATATCTTTCTAGAGTTTGTAAAATTGTGTATCTATGAGGTTCATAACAACTGTGTATTGCATCAATTTATAAATACTGCAAATATAGGCAATGAAATTGTTGTTTTCAGATCTTTAGACATTTTACCTTGACCCTTATGCTAGTAATACGTACAGGGTAGTTATTGAACTCAAGCATGAGTGAAAACCATACAGTGGCACAGGAATAAATCTTTTGTCAGTCCGCTGGCAGTAGGCTCTTGCATTAGACTTCAACACCACCAGTGGTGTCCCACAAATAGGCACTCCTTGCTACTGCAGATGAGTAAATCAAAAGTGACAAAGGGTGAAAATTAGGGAGCATAAATTAGGAGTATAATCTGGATTCTACTGAGTTTTGGGTGAATTGGAGCCTGGTAAGAAAAAGGGTCTATTTTAGGAAATACCAGTGTCTGGTTGTTATTGACTGACTGTAAGCCATAATGTCCCAGGCTGTGATAGATTCCATGCTTAAGTTTGTTTTTTAAACTAGCCTGAGCATTTTATTATGTATGATTTCCTACTCGAGCCAAATTCTAAATATTTTCCATTTGATTTTTCTTCGCCAGTATTTTATATACAGCTGCATATTAGGGCTCATTTCCTGTTCTGTTTTCCTGAGGATAAATTATGAGTTGAAAATGGTGATAATGTTGATTGCATTGGTGGGCTACAATGTTATCCTTCTGCACACTCATGGGCCCATGCTGGATGACTACAGCAAATTTATGTATGCAATGGCACCTCTTAGAAGGTAGGTGGATAACTTCAGTCCTTCTGAAATGAATAGAAATTAAATACTACCTATGGCAGTTCTTATGTCATGGAACAGGTTTTTTTTTCTATGTGTTTGGCTATACAATCTACAAGTCACAAGTTAAAATCATTGTCATGCTGCAGTTAATATATGATTTAATGTCACACCTCAGAGCATTAGAATAAAATAAACAAGTCTGGGCAAGGTGTTTAAATCACATACTATAGGAAATAGAGTATGGTTTAATTTGGATTTTTGTAATAAAGGACATTAGGAAGAAGTCATCATTAAGGTTGTTAAAGGCTGTTAAAGCTGAACATAATTAAGGCTGTTAAAGCATATGTGCTGCAAGCCAAAGAAAATCAACTTCCTCAGAACTAGTACATTGTGTTAAAACTTCACAAATGCAGTCTTAGCTATTGAAAAAGTTAGTAGACCAACAGTTTGAATTATTTTTGCTGTACTTGCAAATTTGTATGTTAAATTTTCAGTGAGACTGCTGAAATCTTTGTTATAGGTGATAATATATAAGACCAAAATTATGACTCTAATTCTAAATATTGCTGTGTAAAATAATTTTTGGACACATGTAATTTTGTTTTGAAAATGAGGTAGAAGACGTGATTCTCTTTGAGTGTGCCACAACAGAAAAACTGAATATTCAGAGTAGAGTTTCAGTGTCCTTTTTCCTGTGCTGTAAACTGCTCGAGACCTTTAGGACACAGAGAAAACCAGGGAAAGGATCTGAATTAAAGAAAAAGTGTATGTTTTCTTTGCTCTTAAATCTAAAGATTAAATAAACAAGCCCAGGTCTTTATGTTTCCATTGCATTAGTGGAAAGGACATCTCTGTGATGGGATGAAGAACCATATGACAGGTTAGATTTAGCACGTCCTTCTGGCAGCCTTGATTTTGCCAGTCAAGCTGTTTGTCTGTTGGTATTTTCCTTCCTAAATCTCTCACCAAGGTTCTTCTTTCAGTGGCATCAGTAGGAGAGTGCTAGTGCGGACTGTTTCCCATTACCTCTAGTGTCTTTTCCCAAAGCAGAGTTCTTAATAAACTTTTTGTACCAGATCTAGTTTGTGCCTCCTGTAATTCTGAGGTGAAAAGACATCTTTGGGATGTTGGTTTCTGTTTCTTCATATTCATTGGATACAGTCAAGCTCTCCATTATGGAAGTAGTGTACATAAAAAAGCCCCTCTTTTTAATCTGCCTGTATAGAATAAGCACCAAAGGCTCTCCATTTGTAAGCAAACAAGGATATTGTTTTTACTAAATCCTCATCTTATGATTGGACTTCAAAATGTAGGTGCATTTGCACAGAATGTAGTAGAAGTAATTAAAGCTACATAATGAAAATAATAATATCAAATAATAAAGCATGTCATGTTTAAATGGTCTTAGTTTACGTACCAGAAAGTAGTATAAATTGTGGTCTTATTCTTGTGCTAAAGTAATTTTGTTTTAACTTTTGAGCAGCTTGCTTTACGTATGTTTTTATTTTATAGGCCAGGAATACTGAAAGACCTGAAGACAATGGGCTCAATTTCTTTGTTTATATTCTTCGTCACGTTACTGGTTTTGGGTAGACAGGTAAGATGCACACTTCTCTTCCTCTGCATCAGTGGACACAGTGCCAGCCTCCACATGCAGCCTCTCACCTTCTCAAACAGTTTTTAGATTTTCTGACAAACACCTTTATTCCATTCTGCCCCACACCCTTGCAAAGGAGTGTCAGAAGCATCTAAAAAGCTGTTTTCTTTATTACCTTCCAATATGCCCTTAAAACTCACCAATAACTGTCGTTTACACTGTAGACATTATGCTGATAGTGCGCTGAGACTATTGCTTGTCATGCTGACCAATATTGTCTCATAGCTTCCTAGTGTGCTCCCATCTGTCTGCATCCATCTGCTGTCTCCCTAGCTGCTTAATTACAAGCTATTTTCTTCACAGTTATTACCATTTGATGCAGACACAGAAACAATGTAGCATGCACACAGACGTGTACCACATGCTGAGGCCACAGTTCCACTAAAACTATGACCCAACAGGAAACTACTCTTTTCATTACCCAGTTGTGCTTTTTCAGTACAAACATGATGTCAGTGGTCTTACCCTGTATGAAGTTGAGGGCAGGTGCAAGGGCAGTTCTCTCTCTAAATCCTCGGGTCTTGTCCAAGATCCATGGCTAAAAGCTGCAATTCCAGCCCATTGTGCCAGGAATGATGGAGTGCACAAGACAGGGCTCCGAGATGGAAGAGGCAATCCATGTGAGATCTCATGAACAGCCTGTACCCCCATAGCCTGCAGCCTTGGGAAGGATCTTATCCCATACTGTCTTTAAATCACCTATTTACATTACAATTCCCCGAAACATAATGACTGTCATTTCAATAGCCAAGCAGGCCCTGCAGGTTACTAGACAAAAAATTCTTGTCTGGGAGCTTCTCCAGTGTTTGCTGTAGTGGGGAACATCCTTCCTGAGTTAGAAATAACATTCATCTGCCTTGCTGCCAGCACTGTATTAGAGTTTGCTCATTTGACGATGATAGCAGAGAGTGGGGCTGGAGCACAGCTACTTCCCCTCGGAAAGAGGGAATACTTTGACACGCCAGTTGAGAACCTTTAGTTCCTGTCAACCAAGGTGTCAGATGAAGGCAGTGGGTGCAACACCAAGAAAAAAGGAGAGAAGGATCGTCATCTTCACTGGGCAAGGAGAGTATTGCTTTGTGGGTTCAGTCACATCAACAAGAAAGTTTGTTTTGCATACAACAACAGTGCCTGTGTGTTTGTTGTTCCCCGTCACACTGAGAAATGATCCTGTAATGGAAAAAGTCTTTGTTTTCAGAGCTGTAGGTCCAGGATCCTTGTCATGATACCACCTGTTTGTGGCTCTTCAGTCTGTTGCCTTTGATTTTTCTGCTAATTTATTCTCCCTTAAAGGAGGAGGAAAAAACCCCTCTGTGTTTCAAACCTCAAGCAAAGTCTAAATGATAACTAGAAAATGTTATGAACTAATTTTAATACATACCTGGCATAAGACCTGCCATTTTAGGTTACTGTTAGTGATACTGACTGGCAGCAAATGCTTGGGAAAAGAATAGGGGAGGAAGTGAACCTGCATAGAGCGACCCTTCCAGGGACGTATGCTTCCCACCTTCTGCCAGTCAGCATTTCTGTGGCAGCGTTTAATAGCTATTGGTTGCTCTGCTTTCTGTTACGCTGTCTGATCCCATTCTAACCCATTTAATCTTCCTGGTCTTCCCAACGTTGTCTGATAATGAATTTCACAATTTGATAAAAAGTCGTGTGAAAGTGTCCATCTTCTTGTTTGTTTTTAAACTATCTGCTTGCTACTTTCATTGAGTGGCACTTGCAGAATGCTGTCGAGCCATCTTGGGGGTGTAGGCAAATTAAAATTCTTCCTTGCCCTTCTTCCACAGAGGGTAACAGACAAGTAATTTCTCTGTTTGCTATTGCATTTTTCTTTGCAGATAATAACATGTGTTTTCTCTTCTCTTAATACCTGATTATTTTAACAATGCTAAAGAATAGCCACTGATGAAAAGGGTGGTCTTTCCATTTCCCTTAAGCTGGCATTGGTGCCCCTCTGTCCTCAGAGTGAGTAACCGGAAAGTTCATCTAAACAAAAAGTGAATGCTTTCCTACAAGCCTAGCTCTGTGAACCTGCTCACCACTGGTCAGAGAGATGCCTGTCCTGATGCAAAAGCAGGATGAGGAATGTGTGTCTCCGGTTGAATGGGGATGAAGAGAGGGAGAGCTAGTATATCATTACATGTTATATGAGCCAACTCAATTCTCAGGTTCGACTAATACTTTAGCTGCACAACCAGCATCCCTACTGAAAGAAGTAGGCCTTCCCTCAGCTACTTGTTCTTATCCTTGTATCTCCTCATTTGTACTGGCACAGCTGCTTGTGGAGCTGTATAGTGGCCCAAAATAGGGAAATAATCTGGCTTAAAAATTAACCTTGGAAAAACATTCGGTTTTCAGCCAGATCTATTTCCTGATGGTTTTATGTTGTAGCTGCAGCAATGCTTGTGCCAAAAGAATGAGCACAGGATGGGAGTGAGCAGCCAGAAGTGAGGTGGAGGAAGTAGAGCTGCTTTTTTTTGACAGTCATGCCAGCGTAGGCTACAACCATTCCCTGGCACTGAGATCAAGGGATGCATTTCATTCCTCATGCATGCCGTTAGAGTTATTTGAAAATAGGCTAGCAGCAGGCAGACGATCCGTTGAGAATGGCGACTCTTGCACCCTGCCCAGGCATTGCCCAGGAGAATGCAGATTGGTATGGGCTAGACTGTGTAAGGAGTGTGCTCACATTTAAACACTATTGAGCATTAAATCTCTCTTATGGCCCAGTTTGAATTACCAGTATTGACATAGCCTGTGAATTCCTTTCTCATCAGTACCTAAAATTACACATAACCCATTACTCTGTAGGCTAGGTGAATATTTTGTTTTTCCCATGATTGATTATATTGTATTTATCAACACTGAACTCCTTACACTGTTTTACTGCCCAGATGTTTATGGCAACTTCCCTCAGCAGTAAAAACGGTTTATTTGTAGTCTCTGTTCTGTTTTTTAGCGAGCTTTTATTCTGTGAGAGGATCCTTCTCTTCTTAGATAATGTAGTCTTTTCAAGAGCCTCTTCTGAAAGAATTTAATGAAAACTTATTTCAAACTTCACTCCTATTCACATGCCCATTGACTTCTTTGTAACAGATGGAGGCATGTTTACAGAAGAGGTGTCAACTCTTCCCCATTGTGTCAGCTTTAGCTAATATGTCTAAATAGCTCTTTTTCTTAGCATGGGGTTTTTTTCCAAAGTACCTTGCCCTGTTGTTGCCAGGGTCACCACATTCTTTTCCAAAGATTTGCAGTATATCCTTACCATTTGTCAGTTCTCTGCCACTGTGGCTGTTTTGAATGATCAGGCTATCCACCGCAAGTTTCAGACCAGCAGCTTTTCTTTTTGGTTACTTCCGAGCTGATGACTTCTTGTTGATCAGCTTATTAATGTGTTCTCAGACATCTTCTGCTGATGCTTTATGTTGAGACAGTTTCTCAGACTTGCAGTCTGTAAGTAATGGCTGTGAGGTGGAATCTCCTTAGCTCCCTCACCTGAATGAAAACCCAGGTTTAATTTCTAGTGATCTTACCTGCTTTAGTGCTGCTTTTGCTGCCCCTTTGCTGAATGCCATAGCATTCATCTCCCCTGATTGTAGACACCTACGGCATAGGCAGCTACTCTTGAGCTGCTTATCTTGACTTTCTACGTGACATTCTTTCAGTGAGGAGAATTAGTTCATTGCCTCACTCAAGCAAATTTTGAAAATAGACCCAGGTGAGTGTCCCACTAGAACTTAAAAATATAGATAAACCCATCTCTGTGCAATCAATGAGACATGAATCAGTTCTTGTTGCACTTAACTGCTTTTGCCCAAGAAGTTACCACTGATTTGAACCTCTGGGGTTGTGTTGCATTGCCTTGCACAGATGCATGGTAGTCTTTTGTCCTGGAGAAAGCCAATTGCTCTGTGGTGCCCGGAGGAACGCAGTGTCCTTCATGCCTCCCTGGGCATTCCACTATGCTCACCCGCTGGGAAGTGCTGTCAAGTAAAGCAGTGTAAGGTGAAGAAGGAAAATTTTGTATCTCAAGGATATTGTGCCTGCAGATGTATAAGGGCCATTCTGAGATATTTTCATTCTGATATGTTGAAAAGGTTCTGGAGATAACATGTAAAGTAGGAAACAGTCTTGGTTTTCATATGACTGCAAGGGTACAAAGATTGAACAGGATCTTTAATGACATGTATGCTAAATTGGCTAGATCATACAAACAAAAAAACCCCATGATTTAAAGTAAGTCTTAATAAGGTAGTGCTTTTTTGTTTTTGTAAGTATGAATAGGCATTTTGAAATATGATACGTTGACTTTTTTAATTTCAAAGCAAATTGTAGAATACATTCTGCTTTATTTTTTCTGATTTCTGAGATCGCTGCCATTTTTTGTGGCAGCCTAAATTTCATTCAATAAATAATTTATTTACTGCTTTATTATCTGTTTAATATTAGCTTTTAAAGAAGAAACGTATCTTTTTGAAGACTTCAGCTTATCTAGCACCTTTTCTTTTCAACACAAAGTTGATACAATGTATGGATACCTAATTTCAGTTTTATGCCAGGAATCCAGTTTACTTTTGTCAATTTATGCAAATAATTTTGACATCCCAGGTTTTTATTGGATTTTTTCTGCATGAATACAGTTGGTGGCATTTGAATGTATCATCTATGTGGGGAACTTAGATGTATAAATATATAATATACATATTTAAAAGCTTGCCAGATCATTTTAATACCATCTCATTTCAACTTTCTACTCTAGCTTTGGTTGTGACCTCAACAAAATATCTATGAATCATTTTGAGCTGTGACAGCCACTGTCCAATCAGAAGGACTACTCTCATTTTGATGTGAATGCTTACTGACTGCTAATACTAGCTAGCATTTTTAGGTTTTTCTATAATAAGATGGTCATCATAATCATGTTCTCCTGGTTAATTACATAGTCTTCACTGAGGCTGCGTGATAGCATTAAACCATTGGACTACATTGAAATAGCTCTTGATTTATATCAGCTCAAATGAGATAGTCAGGCCAGTGGAGGCTTTACTGTAGAAATAATGCCATAGAATTTATGACAAAACATTGACAATATTGAAAAGAAGTAGAGAGAGCTCCACAAAAATGCATTTTTATACATTTTTCAACATCTTTTTAATGAAACTGGATCTCCAAAACTACTGATATTCCAAGAATGTTATTAATTTCCATATAGTTCCAGTTATTGTTATTGTTGGGGATGTTAAAAAACAATTATGAAAACTCTGGGACAAAAAGAAAAGAAGGATAAAGTATTATAGAAAGCAGTGTTAAAAAAAAAACAACAAACAAAACAACAAAAAAAACCACCCCAAAAACCCCAATAAAACCAAAACTGGGTTGGCCCAATTGACTGGGCCATCTTTGATAATCTGATAATGATTTGGTAAACTGAAGGCATATTATATCAATAGGCTATTTTTTCTTGTACTGCCCACTTTTTACCAGGCTGATTGCATGACATAAGTTCAAGTTGGTAAAAGTTAGAGTCTTCCTGAAATGCCTATTATTGTAAGTAAAATTCTACACTTCAGATAAATAAGACATCTTATTAAGTTGCAAAACTGTAAATTGTTTCCATAACAGTGTTAAGATTTCTGGAATTAATTTCTACTAAAGCCCGAGAGTCAATAAATAAATAAATAAATCTTCCATTGTTTAAGGCACCTTGCAACTCTGTTTTTTTTCCTGGGCCTTTTTATGGGCCTTTTTGTTTGGGGGGGGGGGGGGGGGGGGGGGGGGGGGTGTAAGTTTGATTAAATATATGTCACATAGTGCATGCTTGGGGTTTGATTTCTGTGGGATCTGGAATTGTACTTAAGTGGCCAAATAATAGCCTTGTAGGGGTGGTGTACTGTGCTTATTTTGTCTCTTAAACCTGTACTCCAGCAGGACAAGATGCCTATTGTTTCTTTACCTCTGTGTCCTCTTGTAACAGAATGAATATTACTGTAGGTTAGACTTCCTGTGGAAGAACAAGTTCAAAAAAGAGCGGGAAGAGATTGAAACCATGGAGAACCTAAATCGGGTGCTTCTGGAGAATGTGCTTCCAGCCCACGTAGCTGAACACTTCTTGGCAAGAAACCTGAAGAATGAGGTCAGCCATCTCTGTATATCCTCTGCTCTGTAAGAAAGCAGCGTACCCTGGAAATACCACTTAATGCTGATTTGAACAGTAGGTCCATACAGTGAGATTATAGATTTACAGTCACTTTCATTCCCCCTTACCTACCTGAAAGGCTTGCTTTACAGCACTGAATGCACCTTAGTACCTTGAAGTAAAAAATGTGAAATTATCTTAAGTGGCATGCACTTTGCCTTTCAAAGGAGGGCTAAAAGGAGCAAGGAGGAAGAAGGGGATGGTTGAATCAACATGGATTTAAATTTAAATCATATGCACTCAGATACTTTTTTCTTTGTGATCAGAGTGGAGCTGCATCCAGGTTCTGAATTTTCTTCTGGAGACCTTGCTTACTGAAGTGAAAATTAACCTTTTCCCTGAAACAGTGGCTATGTTAATTCTGGAAAGAAGTTCTGAACACTGAATTACCTGTTTACTCGCTGCTAATGGACCTAATCCAAGCACCAGAAAAGTCAACCAAAAGACCCCCTGTTGACTTTGGTGGAAATTAGATCTGCTTCTAATATTGCTTTACAGTTTTAATAAAGCAAAAAAGGATGAAAAAATAAAAGCAATTAGAGAGAGTAGCAGCTCTAGAGATCTTAAATGCAATAGTTTGAATTACTTGTGCATACCAAACAATTGTTCCAAAACTGACAAAAGAGGGGAGAGGGCAGTTTTAGGGATTCATTTTTGATCTCCTGAGTCAAAAAGGACAACGTCTTCCTTTCACTGTGGTTTGCATTAAGCAGTACTAATCAGTACTTTATATCAGTACTTTAGTACTACCTGCAAATATTCATTTGGTAGCTAATGTCGGGTGAAAACTGCTGTGGGGTTCTTTTGAATCCAGTGAAGACCTTGGCTGGAAGCCAGGTTGGCTCAGCTCCAGTTCTCAGTTCAGGCATTAAACACAGCAAACCATCAGGAGATTGCTTTCTCATTTATGTGCTATTCCATCTCAGCTCCCCAGCAGAGCAACGCCATCTGCTCACCTTTGTATTGGCAACTGGATTTATATTGTCACCCCTCAAGATTCTTAGGTTGGAATGAGCTTTAGTAAATTTAGTGAAGATCAGAAATTGTAATGTGTTGAGCTCTCCAATCCAGTGTGTCAGCCGAAGTAAAAATGATTGACATAATTTTAGTGGCATCCCTTAAAAAAAAAAACTTGAGTTGTTTCTTGTTTTGTTTATCTTTTAAACACAGTTTTCAAAGAGGGAAGAACCTTTCAAATCCCTGGAAATGTTCAGGAATATAAGCATCTGTCATGTCTTCAGATTTGTTTCAATGTCAGCAAGGATGTGTTGAGCCTTAAAGGACATTCTGTATGTGTCCTTTAGAATAACACCTAAGAATATGTTAGGACAGATCAAGCCTTTGTTCTGTGTGGATATTTAGGTAAACAGATACTGGATTGAAATTTGTCTGCATTTTCCTTAGTTGCAAACATTCTTGTTAATATGGTTTTATGTATATTCTTTTCTGTTTAAACCAGATTTTGAGATGAAAATTAATCTAATGATGAATAGTCTGTTTCAGAGTACTACTTCTCTTAAAATTTTTTGCATGCAGCTGTATGGAGAAAAGGGAAGACAAAGTATGCTGCTGGAGAACAGGC